ATTTGTACAGAGAAAGTAAGAAAAACACTTTTACAAGTCTGCTACCTAAKGATAATAAACTAATTGTCAACGTTTGACAGCAAAATCTGACCTGTGACTTGTAACTCAGAAGCAGATCAGCATTTGTATATTCACACTGAGTCATACAATCCTGCAGCCCATCAGATGTTTACAAAGGAGCACAGGGCATCAGTTTCTAGGAGAAATACCCCACAAGATCATTCCCTACAGTGAGAAGAGCTGATGGTCTGGGCCCAATCACTGGGATTCTCCCAGGAGCAGTAATTTTACTGCAGTAACTTTACTACACTGTGTATCTGAAAGTGATGAATTATTTCTTCAGTCTTAGGCTGATTTTGTCCTCCATAAGTGCATTTCTACCTCCTTCCCCACTCTCCATGCAGGTAAAGAATCTTGAGGCATTCCTGAAAGCAAACTGCCAGAGAAAAAGGAATGTGGAGCTTACATCTCAATTTATGGTGATTAGAATGAAAGAAACATGTCCAACTCTAACAACTAGACTGCAGAGACCACTCTGCAGCACTGGTCAATGGGGCATTATGTACCCTGCCCACAGCTTAAAAAGCCATAGAAACACATACATGATCACTTATGCTATCAACTGCCCTGCCACTGAGTGGCATGCACTGGGAGGAATATTTAAMAGGTTGTGAAYGCAGATGGTTRTCCAMACTACCAAAAYTGAAAGGGAAACTTRGCATGAATTAAAATACATTTTCTTYAWAYACCCCCTTTCTGATCYTTCCTACTATYAGACACTCAACTCTTTTCTAAGATCTAGGAGTCTCCCTACTGCCCCAATGTTCTCTAGGAAGTGATAAATATCTTCCCTAGACTGCTGCCTCCCAAAACCACTCAAAACTAGGGTCTGTGGCYTGCTGTGTTTCTCTGCCCTTTGACAAAAACCAGAAAACTAAAAGTTAAAATGGTTCCCACCAGCTCTGTTGATAGCACAAGCCAGCAATACCCAGTTCAACCATGAATCAGAATCTCTGTCATCAMAAATTAAAAATACTCCAGTCACATACCCTGATGCTTGATGGTGAACAAGAGACATACATTTGTTACCAGAATTGCTATGGAAACCCTTTATCATGCACAAAGCCCTGGAAAATTTCAGGCTGTTACAACATCACATCCATGGACATGTCACATAAAGAAAAACAAGAATCTCATGAAAAAACGTATCAATCATTAATATTTTGTCCATTTCTAATGCAGTTTTGGACAGMTGCCAAAGAGAAAGGAGAAGCATCTGTGAGGCTGCTGTATCTCMAAGTCCCACACAGAGGGTGAACATGGATGTTGACACGAGAGACCAAATATGTTATGCTAGACATGGACCAGGGAGGGGATATTGCCCCAAAGGAGAGAACAGTTGGCTGGCTGAGACAAGAAGTCACACCAAAACACCATCCTGCCCCACACTTACAGTCTTCGATAGCTGTAGTTCAGCAAGATTTTTTCATTGGTTGTTTTGTCTTCCTTCACCAAAATATTAAAAGCATGGCATCTACTATTTGTATGAACTTTACCGCTAAACAACAAAACATATTTAAAACAGTACGCATTCTCTCTTTACCCAGATAGTACACTTCTTACGGAATTAACATTAGACCAGAAGCTAAACCTCATTCTCTGACAAGCAGGAATACTTCTATTATTTTAAAAAGAGAAAGTATGGGCAGAATTTAGTTGTACAGATTTACTGGGAAAAGAACCCTTCCTGGTTCAAGCTAATCTAAATACCGATCTACATTCCAGAATTAAAAAAGCAGATATTTTTGGGGTTCACTCAAATGCCAGAATTTAATTTCAGCAAAAGTATTAAATATTTAATTACTTGCTCTTCTATAAAGAAACAGTTTTCAAGGTATTTAAAACAGCTTTCTCTTTAGCAGAAAACCAAAATCATATGAAGGAACTTAATTTTTTTTTAAATTAGGCTAGATATTCTTTGGTTTTTTGTTGTGGTCTTTACTTTTCAGAGGTACAACAGAACCATAAGCTTTTGTTTTTCTGAAAAAACAAAAACCAAAACCAAACAAACAAAAAAAAAGCAACAAAAAACTGCCAGTGAGTTGTAACAAAGCTTCTTGTTACTTGAAATGAGAAAAGGTGAAGCAAAATTATTTTTGGCATGGATTTTTGAAGGAAAAAAGCAGTAAAAAAATTTAAGTTAAAATGATAGAAGGTGTTATTGATCTATTATAGATTTATAYTGTATCCAGTGATTAGGTGTGCACGGGGTGAATTTAGTGTACACTTTCGGAAAACCATAGCAAAAATGTAAGTGCTGGTAAAACACTGAGTATACAAAGGATTAGAATCTAGCTCTGATCTTAGCATGGACTTGCATGGCTAGGACATCAGAAAGTTTCTTAATGCTTTTCCAGTCAGCATAACAATTTTGTTCTTTGAAGCCAGGAAATCTTTACTTTCTAAAAAACTGACCAATACTTTGAACTTTTAATTTCTCATGGACACTGTTAAGATCAGGAAGATTACTGACAATCATGATAGGCTGAGATTTCTGCATTACTTAATGACAGGACAAGGGGTTTTGAATTATTTTATCTGTATGGATGAACAGATTCTGCTTTCTGTGGATACTTTAATTTTTAAAAGTCTTGAGATTTTCAAGCACAGCTTTCAATGTTTAAAAAATGCAGCTTTCAGTATTTTAAAAATGCTGTCTGGTAAAATCCAAGTTATCAGGATCCAAGTTTCAGTTTAAGTGGAAAGACTTCTAAATGTACAGCCTACATGGAGTTGCCTGAGACACGCAGATGACAACACTGGCTAGAAAGCAGCTCAGCAGCATGGTGATCTGATTCAGTAGCTGCCTACAGTCAGAATTTGGAATTCAGAGGCACGAATGTGTGCAGCTAGTGTCATGTGAGAGATTCCCTAGGTATCCAAGACAGCTGCCCGTGAGTGACAGCTACAACCACAGCCCAACACTGACTCCAGCCTGGGCACATGGAACAGCCAGCGGCTACGGCTGGAGACACTGCATCAACTCACACTGCAACAAATGCCTGAATGCACACAATGAAACTGAGCCCAAGGAGTTTATGAGGAGCTGGACAGGTTTCTGGGTGCACTGAGTATTGGCTTAACTYTTACTGACTGCAAGGAGTGCTTACACACCTCCTATTCCAACACCTACACAAAAGCTTCTGGGTTTAGGCATCTTGAGCTGAAGCTGAACACGACCCTGACTATCTCATGCCATTGTGGCTTTCCCAGCAGTGGTCTCAAAAGAATTACTGCTGGACACAATCAACCAGATGAAATGACTGAGCACAAACATATCCTCCTGACACAGTAAGAGCATCTTGAGCTGAATAGGAAGAAAAGGCATTATTAAGAATAATGGCACATGCTGCTGAGAACAATGGTGATGGGCAAGAGGTGAGGATTTCCACTGCAAGGAATTACTGAAGTCAAAAYGCAAGAATTGTCTCTTAAAACAATTTGGGTGACATTTTTAGTGGCTTGCACCTCACTTCTCTTACACATAGTGACAAGACTTCCCTGCCTTTCTGCCCTTAAAACAGCACTGAATGCTGCCATCTCCATGGTGGTTCCTTGCCCACAGCCATCCCAAGGCATTTCCTGCAGRGACACGAGCTCCAAAGACTGAGCAGCTGTTTACAAGCATCAGGCAAGAGACACTCTCCAAGCAACTGAAACGTGGGAGGTGGGGGTCCAACCCCAGACGGAAAGGACAMGTGTGGCAGCACAAGTTAACATCAACTACAGGGCAGCCCACAGGCTCAAGGATCAGCCTCAGGTCCTCAAGAGAGCTTGCTCAGAGCTCCAGTGCCACACAGGATCACAATCTCTGTGTTCACTGACCCCCAGCAGCAYAGAGGCTGAAGATACCTCTCTGTGTAGTCCACACATCAAGAGCCGACTGCGACAAATAAGTGCCATGGGGGTGGTCATCTCCAGTATGGCACAGAGTTCTTCTGCAATTCTATTAAATGGAGCCTGGCACTGCAAGGATACTGTGCATTCAGGCCAAGCAGTTTGAGGGCTTGTAAATTAATCTGTCTTTCAGCAGAAAATTATGTTTAGAAGCTAAAAAATTCTAATACTGATTCTTGCTTCTCATAATGACATCTTAACTTTAAAAAAATTACCAGTCAGTAAGGTGGCAAAGCTTTAACTTCCAATTATGAATCTGAAATACAGAAGGCCATCACAGAAATCCTGGTTCAGGTAACTAACTTGCTAAGACAGTTCAACAGACCAAGCTTACTTCCCACAAAGCATTTGGAGCATTCAAAAAGACTGAATTTCTCAACTGATTTCACTAAGTCCTGGTGTCTAAATTTTTTTTTCCTATTTCCTTKCTCTTCCAAATTTTTATAGCACTCAAATAATTCACATTTAATTTTTGCTACATGTAATGTTTCCTTTCTGCTGGTCTTTTTCTCCCTCAGAACGGAAGTTAGGTCCCTAGATTTCCACATCTTCAATTACAGTTCACAAGACAAAGTTCTACTATACTTAAACAAAGCAGAACTAATTCAAAGCAGTGTATCTAATTAATCAAAATAGCTAGCAGTGCAATATTTAAAATAAGTGCGGGCTGCCTGGATTATAGCAACATTATTACCATGTGATTAATAAGCAGTTGAAGTATTACATTTGCTACACATTTGCTAAGTTATTTTATCTTGCTTTAAAGTTTGGTGGCAAAGTTTCAAGCCATAGAGATTTGCTTTATTCAGTATTATGTTGTTAAGCCCACCATCTGGTCAGACAGCTGAGGGAACTCAAACATATGGGGGGTGCATATTTCTCTCTTGGGAAATATTTGCCTTACAGAATTATGCAATAGTTACCAGTTTCTTTCTTAKTACAGTAGGATAAAAAAAATAGATTAAAATACTTTGTAGATAAACTGAGCTTGGTGGGCCTTGTACTTAGCTATTACTTATGTAGGAAAATAAGATGGCACTTACTTGAGGACCAGGCTGACCCTGAAAAAAAAMCAGAAAAACAAAAGATTATGAAAAGTTATGACAATGATTAGCTCCTTAAATAGTAAAAAACAGTTACAGCACTCTCTAAGAAAGAGCTAACAAAATATACAGTAACAGCATTCAAGTCGTATTTTGGACTCTTAAGTCTAAATCAAATTTGAGTGTTTTAATTCAAACTGATGAACTTTCTTGCAACTTCTAGTTTCTAGAAATAAATTACAGTAACATACTGAAACTGCATTTGAGAAACTTATTTTAGATAGTTAGCAATTTAGAAATGATAGGAAGACCTAATCTAACAGTTCTCAAGTGAGAAAGAMTCCACAAGTGCTGAGCTGATTCAGAAGCATGTACTGTGTTTTTTTCTCTTTTATTTCTCTATTATGGCTCACCTCGGAGTGCTTCTTGAATGAACAAAGTCTCAAAACTGGAGGAACTCACTGCTGGAGTAACAGAGTTTTTGCCATTGCTGCAGGCACCATAGTTTTATGCAAGTATAAAGCAATATTTAAATCAGCAAGTCTGAAAGGTTTTTAATGAACCTTAGTCAGTCCAAGATGCACTGACAATTTTCCTTTCTCTTATTTACCAACATGCCCTTTAAATCACCCCTGGGTAAGGGGAGAGGCACCCTCTGCACTCTGAGGAACTGTATTTCTTCTTGCTGCAAGCCCTTAAAGAGTAGACTTCCTATCCCTAATTTTCCTAGACCAGAAAAGCCAGTGAAAGTCATGATATATTTTAGCCCCCTTAATAGAAATTACTTGTGTGAAGCATAATTGTTTTAGCAAACAGTAAAGCAGCTGTGACTACAAACAACATGACCCAGACAATCAGCTCACACTGAAAGAGAAAAATAATTATGTATTTCTCCCTAGAAAGAGAGAATTCCTTTAAACTCCTAGGGCTAGCTTAGCTTCTGGTGTTTTATAATATTTAACTACTTCAGTTAAAACTGGAACTACATTTCCTTTTGTTGACAGAAACTGAGCATGGAACCTTCTTTTAAATCTTMTAAAACCTCTTCACTTTAGCTAGAAGGTACTTCTACAGAGAGTTGAAACTTTCCTGTCTAAACATCACGAAACACTTTTTTTTCTGTTAAATAAGCAAAGGAACATGGAGATTGTGGAGTTTCCATTCTTGAAGATACTCAAAAACCATCTGGACACAATCCTGGGCAAGCTGCTCAAGACAGCTCTGCTTGGGCAGGGATGTTAGACCAGACCCCCATCTCCAGAGGTCCCGTCCCTTCCAACTTCAACCAACCTGTGATTATGGGAGATTTTAAGGGAGAAGGGGGCAAAAGCATTTCAACTGGGAACAATTATCAAGAAAAGCAGCTGAAGAAAATGCTTTTATATAACAACTATTAAAACTTTCTTAATTAAAAGCCAGGGGAAAAAAAGGTATTTAAATTCACATGAAAGTTAACAATTTCTTTTTTTAAATATAAAAATTATGTTACAGAGGAATAATGGTAAAATACAGAGTTATTGAGGCTATCTAGTCTTTACACTTAATGCAGACCAAAGCCTTCCTTCTTGTGGATGCCAAGTTTTGTATTTCTTCCTTAGAACAAAACTGCACCATAGAGGTTACAAAAAAGAAAAACTGGTGGCTGAGGCTTGTCAGTTCAAATATTAAGTAAAACTTCCTGAGCTGGTGAACTCCATGAAGTTACACATCACACTGGGTTAAAGAATATGACTGAGACTCCTCAGCACTCAGACTTTACCTCAGTCTTCCTCTCACAGCAGGTTTTGAGCTGTTACATACTATAACTGAYCTTCAAATCATCAGGAATTGCCTACTGATGCAGTATCGGTCAGCCAGTACAACAAAGTTGCATAAATTATCTAACCTGAGACCTATGCATGCAAACTTTATACATAAAATTCACAATACATTTGCTTGCAAGAATATCTAAAGTTGCAACAGATTTTGATCAAATCACAAGTCTYCAACATACATATATATATAAAAGCTATACCTTAAATGGAGGTCTGAAATAACCAAAATGTTTCAACAAAGACTTGATTTAAAGAAATAGAAAGCAAATAAACAGAACAGATGCACATAMATTTTAACAATGAGATTTGAAAATTGACCTTTTTTTTCATCTAAGACATACAGGCTGCTAAGTGTCCACATGGCACATGCTACATTTACAACATACAAGAAACATACACACATAACACAAACATATTCTGAATTGAATGGGAGGGCTGGAGTCACGCTCCCAAGAAAGTGTTTTCTACTCTCACTCTCAACAGCATTACTAGTTTGCCTTTTGTTACTGTGCATTTATAATTGCTCTTCTTTCATGTMTGYAATACAGAAAAAAGCTGGAAAATGMWTTTTTTTASGTTTTTCATGTAGACAGAAAACTCTGTGAGATATTGGGGAACATAACAGCTGCATTAGCTGCATTAYTCTTAGTTTCTATATGCTGCCAATATTGCAGTTCTCTGTGTTTAGCTACAAATGCAGATTCTGAAAACAAAAGTACTCATGGCAGGATTTTTTTAACTCACAGGCCATATGCTCCTTTAGCATGGAAGGAACTCTGCATTAGCAAAGGTAATTATTTTCTGTTTTTTACTGTAGTTCAAAATCCTTCAGTGTTTCTGTATGATTTTACCTACTCCTTGCCCTACTAGCCACTGTAGCTACATTAGAATTTTCCCTTCTCACAAGTGATCCAGCAAGTGACACTACCCAGAGCATGCAGCCAGCACTGAATTAYGGAACTTCATCAGCTCTCCTTACAAAGGCATGAGTGGAAAAGCATGACAATAAAGACATTTTTAATTGTAAGGGGTCGTTGTGCTGTAACACAACAGCAACTCAAAGTGTAGGACACAAAAAGGGGCTGTGAATTTTGCCCTCCCTCATTTTTGCATGCTGTGAAAGGATCAGAAATAAAACTCCTTGARCTGCTTTTGTCTTCATTAAAAAATCCTCTAACATGGATTCATTCTGATAATATAACTCCTTCGAGCAAACTCAATCTCAATTTATCTGCTTGTGCTCCCAAAATGGCCCCAAGACTGCTGAAATCAGTTTGGTTCACTGCTGCATAAATCGCCCCCAGTTCATGTTACTTGTGGATTAAAATGTTTTAGTTGCAAGTCTTTTTTAGATAACCAACAGGGAGCAAATACTGCTCAGGACTGAAAAGTCAGCATTACTCTGTTTTTTTCTAATGAACATCTCTTTATTCAAATCTGTTACACACACTAAAATTGAGTCATTAATTCTAACTACCAAGTAACTGCTGTCTTGGCACGTTTTTAGAGATCAGTCCAGCACTACTGACTGATCAGGTGCATTTTGGTGGCTGCTGCTTTGAACCTCTGGATCATTGCTCTTGTTCTTGATTATCGTAACTGAATTTTTATTATCGTAACTGCTTTTTATTTTATTTTTTTGAAATCTAAATTACTAGTGGGTATAGCTGCATAATATGTCAGGGTTTCAGTAAAATCTTCAGAACAATTTTCACTTCTATATTCCTGTTTACTAGTTTAATACACTATTTTGCAGTAAATAAAGGGCTCACATTTGGCAACCTGTTCTATTTGCCACGATGGAAGGTCTTCCACAGTTACTAGTTAATCCCTTCCCAGCAAATGAACCCAATATTAACTGCTCATATGTAAATGATACCAAAACAAAAAGGAAATATCCATGGTGTAACTGAAGTCAACAGGTAAGTTAACAATCCCCTAAAAGAGATTAAAGAAAAAGCCCATTGACTGCACGCTGCAAACTTTACAGAGAAGTTACTTAACAGTAGAAAGAAACCTCAAGAAGAAAAGGAAGAAAAGACAAGAAAATGAAAGTTGACACTGCAAATTAACAAGTTGAGCTTGCAAAGGAAATGGGGCTTATAGCAAGTAAAAGGACAGAAAAGAAAACAGGTATCCAGGATATCAGCGAAAAGGGCTGCCCTGGGAAGGGAGAAAAGAGAAGGAGCAAAAGGAACAGCATTTGAAAATGTCAGAACTGGATTTTCACACCTTTGCCTTGSTGTTAAGCTTTAAAGAGCTGGGAACATAAACTTCCTGGCTCATACATCCAAACATAAAACTATACAAATATACACACAAGTGCAAATGTATTAACAAATGCATTGTATAAAACTTGAAGCAGCACATTCCCTAAAGAATATCTAGAATATCATACAAATGCATTTATTATGAGACATGAGGCTGTTAAGATCTAATCAGCCAACTAAATCTAGGCATGGAAATTAGAACACACAAATTAAGAATTTGTGAAGAAGGAAAGCAGAAAGAGTAATAGAAATGCAGTCAGAAGTGATACCCTGCTGTTTGAAAGGCACCACCGAACTACCCTTGCAGGAACATCTGTCTTCCAATCTAATTCAGATAGAAAATGACAAGGAAACAGGAGTAGCAGAGYTGACCTCCATTTCCTTGCATAAACAGGAAAGACTTAAGTGGCTTTTCAGCATCCTGTTAAAAATCCACACTACTGGAGTTTAACTAAATTATGCTGAAGGAAACCAGTATTTGATTAATACACATTTCAGCATAACTAATTTAAAAAAGCAAAGAGGGGAATATGTGAAAGACCTAAATTACACTGGTTTTGAACAAATCACCTACCAGCTTTCCATCCATACCAATCGGACCCTGGGATAATCAAAAGTCAAAACAAAATGGAACAGTTAAATCAGAAGAACAATGAGGATGAGAAAAAAAAAACCAGACTTGGGGAATACTGCAGGCTTCAGAAGATGAATAACTCTATGTCAGCAGCTAAATGCAATACCTTAAAGATATTTTGAGAATGAAGGCACAGAAAGAAAACAACAAAAGCAGCAGACCTAAGACAGAATTAATAAAAACAGCGTGGTGGGCATTAGCCAGGCAGTAACTGGTGTTTAAGAAAAGACAGGTTCAATGTGTAATGAAGGAACTGTTAGTTTTGGCAAATCACAATGGTCTAAAATAACCAAACATATG